CATCAATATATATCAATAATTATAGTCTTTTCTAATTAATATTTGACACTGGCATAAGAAAATTATCAATAAAACCAACGCTATTTATATGATATACATTATAACAATATAAGGCTCAGATTTTTATCTTTTTATCTCTGAATATTATCTATTTGTCTATTTATTAACTCCCAGACTAATGAAAATTTGTGTCAATAACACTTGTCACAAAGAATTTGAAAAATGTATCAGTAATATAATAATTTAGCGGGTTTATGGGATTATTAAAACCAACAATGAAAATTTAGACTAAATATAATCAAATATATAGTTCATGTGAAGCTAAATTAAATTTTGTCTGTTAAGTACAATCGATTTTCTGAAACATATGGTGTAACATGAATTCCTTAGAACGTGACACAAAAATCAATTCAAAAAATGGTTATTGGTACTTGAATATATTTTTTCAAACTACTGCTTGCTTGAGATTTAAAAACTGGCGTCTCTAAAGGTCATCTGGCAGACTTCCATAGAGAAAAACGTAAGAAATATTTAGGTTATACAGAATAAAATTATAATCGCATTAAGCAAATGATCGATTGGTGGTGATGGTTGAGTACCAGTGAATAATAACTTTGATGAAAACTGACTGTTGTAGAAAAAATTAATTGAAATGAAATCTGACCAGATAGATATTAAAACAAGCTTTTGGACTTAATGACCATTCTGACCATTTGGGAAGGAAATATGTCAAAATAAAACACTAATTCACCACAATACACCAAAATTCTTTACGTTTAACACTGGACGCGCATTTTGCTAATCATGTTTAAGCATCATCAGCAGATGTTGTAACACCAAAGATTTCAACCCCTAACTCTAAGAAAATATTTCATTTTGAATTCTGCCGTATACCTACATACAGGGTGGCCCATTGAAAACGTTCCACAAGGCATAACGGCCAGAGTGTTTTTATTCCAAAAAATCCAAAAACACGTCAATTTTGTTTGTGAGGGGGACAACTTTTGCCCCGAAAATGATTGCGAAATCTTCAACCCTCTAAGCGGAGGTGTCATCCCCCAACTTTTTTCCAATGGGAAGGGGGGTCAAGTGGCACCGCAATGAAAAGAGCTTTCTATTCCCTATATTTCCCCGCTTCGTTTTTGGAAATCGGTCCAGTCATTGAGAAAATATGAAGGATTGAAATTTGAAAAGTTTATTTAAACATTTATCAGAGTAAATGATAAGGATAAGTTCCTTCGACTAATTTGCTGTTTTTTGTTATTATTTCTCGATGTTTACGCATTTTTTCACTTGCCACAAGGTTGAACAATCAGGTGCGGTAGTTGCTAGATAGCTGTTGTGGGATTTGTGCGTTGAAGTTCTTCTCAATAACGTTAAACTGGCCTACAACAGGATTTCCAAAAATACCAGCCCATACATTCAATTTCTGAGGGTTTTGTGTGTGCACCTCGTGAAAAACCCTGGGGTTGTCCTCAGCCCAGTACCGACAGTTGTGCCGATTAACTACACCGGTCATAAAGAAACTCATCCGAAAAACACACATTAAATAGGAAATTATTATCATTCGCCACTCGTTCACTCATAGTTCAACAAAATTGCAAGCGACGATCAAAATCGTCTTCGTTAAGTTCTTGTACCAACTGAATTTTGTACGAGTGGAACTTGTTTTTTTAATATCCTTTGGACACTTGTACGATTCACGCCGGTATCATTGGCTAATTTTCTTGTACTCAGCGTACTATCCATGGCAACTTGGCCCAATACGAATACCTCCATAGCTTCATTTACTACAGGATTTTCCCTTTTTGCCTCTTTTTATTCATAACGGAACCAGTTTCGCGAAATTTTGCTACTATAACTAGCGAACAATTTTGCCATAAAAGTGTTTGTCAGGATAGCGTTCATTGAATATGTGCGCAACCCAATACATTCATTATTTTTAAAATAAAGTTCGATTATTTCCACTTTTTCTGCAAATGAGTACACCATAATTGTTAAAAAGTTTAATTTAATTAAATTATTTATATATTTAGTATTTTTTTTAGTATAACGATTATAATTTATCATCAAATTTAAATCGTTATACAGTCTTACATATCTATTCAATCGAATATACGATACGGGTAAAATTCCAAACGACTGGCTAAAATCAACTTTTATAACAATTCTTAAAAAGGCATCTCCAAAAGACTGTAGTGACTACAGACTTATAAGTCTAATGAGTCATGCTCTGAAACTTTTTCTTCGAGACATGCATGCTCGTATATACTCGAAATGTGAAGAAAAAAGCGGAGATACACAGTTCGGCTTCATTAAGGGGCTGGGTACCAGAGAGGCTTTGTTTTCAATCAAGCTACTAATCCAGAAATGTTATGATCAACGCCAAGATGTCTTTGTGTGCTTCATAGATTATCAGAAGGCTTTCGACAACGTTAAACACGATATTCTCCTAAACAGACTGCTCGAGATAGGAATAGACGCCAAAGGCATTAGAATCATACAGGAACTATATTGGAACCAAACCGCAGAGATAATAGTTAACAAAAATTTATCCACAGGTACCTTCAATGTCTGTCAAGGAGTCCGCCAGGGCTGTATAGTGTCACCAATACTTTTTAATATATACGTCGAAAAAATATTTCAAATGGCCCTGGAAGGAGGAAGTGGAGGAATTAAGATTAACGGAGTTCCAATTAACAATATAAGATATGTAGATGATACGGCAATACTAGCACGAACTTTAGAGGATCTCTAGCAAATAATAAATAAGATAGTGGACATGGGAAATCGTTTCGGTCTTAAAATCAACGCTGCCAAGACCAAACTTATATATGGTAATAGGACGCCAGCCTACAATCAACACCGCATTGACCGTGGATGGAAATATTATAGAGCGAGTTCCACGATTTAAATATATGGGTGCCATGATCAATGAACGATGGGACTGCGATGAGGAAGTTAAACTTAGAACGAATTATGCAAAGTCAACATTTTTTAAACTTAAAAACTTCCTATTAGCACGCAGTCTCTAACTGGAGACTCTGGACTCTCCGGAGACTCTTACGTGTGCCATGGACCGCACATGCAACCAACGAAGAAGTTTTAAGAACTGCAGGCTATGAACGAGAAATGCTTAATATAGTTAAAGAAAGGAAAGTCTCATACCTCGGCCATATCCTTAGAGGAGACAAATATTACATTCCTAAGCTGATTCTACAAGGAAAAATAGAGGGACGGCGAGGCCCAGTAAGAAAACAACATTCGTGGCTAAGAAACATACGGGATTGGTGTAACATCAGCGACGCAGCCACCATATTTCGAAGAGCCGAAAACGGCACTCTACACATTGTATGAAGAGTACAGACAATCGCCAACGTGCGGCTAAGCACAAGGCACAGGAAGAAGAAGATACAGGGTGTCCCAGAAATAAGTCCAAATATTTTAAGGGGTGATAGATCTCGATAAAAGAAACATATCGTCCCATTGATGCCAAAAGTCACTAACTTACTTTTTATTACTTCCGAGAAAAATGCGTCTAAAGAAGAATTGCATTGCATAAAGATGTTATAGTTAATAACTATTCGGTATTAAAATAAAACATAAATAGCCAGAAATCGTAGTTAATGACTTTTGCAATCGATTCTCCGATTCAAAACATAGTTAGTGATTGAATTTGGTTGTTCGGAAAAATGTTAGTTAGTGACTTTTGGCAGCAATAGGACGATATTTTCTCTTTATCGTTTTTCAAATAAGTCCAAAATAACGGAGTTATTTTACTTTGAAAATTTCCCAAAAAAAATATTTTTTGCTAAAATTTTGAGAACCACTGGATCTTTTCTGGATTTTCTTTCTTGTAAATTTAATCTAATACCAATATTGCCATATTATCAAGAAATTATGTTTTTTAACAAAAACTAAAAAAAATCCAAAAAAATTTTCAAAAAATTTCGAATTTTCAAATTTTTTTTTTCGCGAAAAAATCTTCAAAGGCGTGTTTCTGGGGTTGAATTATACTCCCAGTTAAAATATTTGCACTTATTTCTGGGACAGCCTGTATAACAACATTTATATGTTATTGTTTAAGTAGATTCTATAAGATTGATTTTTTCTGCATATTTTATGACAAAATGTGACGTGTATTATAGAAGTCTAATTTATTATCTTTACAATACGTGCTTGTGAAATATTAATAAAATGATAAGGACTTATCTTTACAAGTATTATTAATATTTTACCTAAATTTAAAATGTACGATAATAAAAATCTTCCAATGTGCACTAATTTGTATACAATACCTACTTACTATTAGTTGATTAAACTTTATTACTTTCGCGTACTTGTATTTATAATACCGAATGATCGAAAAAAAAACGACGTCAAAGACGGCTGGGGAATGATATTCGATTATAATTTTGGTGAGGCCAATTTCTAGAAGTCATTTACTAAAAATTGACGTAAAACTTATCAAAAAATAACACTAATTATATTATAGAAAGCGTAAAAAAGGACAGAACGTTTTCAGACACACTAATAGATTTCCAAAAAATATGCTTTCTCGAATTTGACTACATCATTTAAAAAGCATTTTTACTCTATATAAAAATAAATTAAAATCTTAAGGCTAACTGGCAGTAAACGTAATTAAAAAATAAAGAAGAGTTCGGGCCAATTATATTCGCGTCCAGTCCGAATGTATTATCTTGATTTTTCTATACGTAGTACCGTCCCTGCGTGCACAATTTTAAAGCTATAAGCTAAATTCCCTCCCGCTACCAGTCTAGGTGGCCGCGCCGGCCCTGGCGCGGCGGTCGGTATTCATTCGTCTTTCGTGCACGGTGCAGTGCGGATCGTAGCTCTCCGATTTCTTCGTCGTAGTCGATGAAGCCATTTTGTTTATTCTCTACTCATTTTGGATATTACTATGTAATATACGGTGTTCTACAGCTAGGTAGAACACAAGGAACAATATGTAAGTATTGTATAATATTTATTTTTAGAGAAAAACGAAGTGGACGTAAATAACGGAATATTAGAATTAGATAAAAGAAGAAAACAATAAGAATATTATATATATCGGACTGTTGTACTCTCAGTGAGACAAAGTTCGTACGTGTAAAGAATGTCCTTCTCCTTGTAAGAGGAATTCTCATTTATATAAGGTTCTATATCTCGCAGTCAAGAGAATATTATAAATGCCAAAGTGTTGCATCTCCGAGTGAGTCAAATTTCGTACTTTTAGAGGATGGCCATATGAGAGAGATTCCTTTTATAAGTCAATATTGATATCCCACTATCGAGAGATAAATTACAGGTATCACAGGTAAGTATCTTATAATATTTATTTTCAGGTAATTAAATAATGGAGGGAAATAATTGAAGTGGAAGCAAATCTCTAAATGTAGAAATTAGAGGCAAGGAGGAGACAATGGAAGTAGACAAATGGAGAAAGCAATAAGAATATCGTATATATCGAACTGTTGTGCTCCCAGTGAGACAAAGTTTCCTATTTAGAGAATGCCCTTCTCCTCGTGAAAGGGATTCCTATTATATGAGGTTAGAAATCTGGCTATCAAATAATATTATAAATATCGAACTGTTGTTTTCCCAGTGACGCAAAGTTTCCTATTTATAGAGAATGCCCTTCTCCTCGTGAGGGGGATTCCTATTGTATGAGGTTCTAAATCTCTCTATCAAGAGAATATTATAAATACCGAAGTTGTGCCGAAGTGTTGTATCACCCAGGGAGTCAAATTTCTCATTTTTCGAGAATGGCCGTCTCCGTGTGAGGGATTCCTTTTATAAGTCATTGTTGATATCCCCTATCGAGATATTAATTACACGTATTACCGGTGAGTATCTTATAATACTTATTTTTAGGAAATTAAATAATGAATGGAAATAATTAAAGTAAAAGCAAATTTCGAAATATGGAAATTAGAGGCAAGGAGGAAACAATGGAATTAGACAAAAAGAAAAAATGAGAATAACATATATATATCGAACTGTTGTCCTCTCCGTGAGACAAAGTTTCGTACTTACAGAGAATGCCCTTCTCTTCGTGAGAGGGATTCCTATTATATGAGATTCTAGATCTCGCAATCAACAGAGTACTATAAATGCCGAAGTGTTTTATCTCCCAGCAATGAAATAAGGTATGAAACAAAATTTTGTACTTTTAGAAAATGCCTATCTCTGGAATGGATTTCTTTTTTTATGAGATTTTAGATCTCACTCTCAAGGGAATATTATTTATATATTTAGGTGCCAAATATTTGTATCTCCCAGTGAGACAAAATTTCGTACTTTTAGAGAATGCCCATCTCCGTGTGGGAGGGATTTCTTTTATACGTTATCGATAGCCTTATCGAAAAATTAATTACACGTATTACATGTAAGTCTTTTAGAATATTTATTTTTAGACGAATATTGGATGGAAATAAATAGAAGTACATCCCGAAATGTGGGGATTAGAGGAAAGGAGAAAACAAAGGGATGAGGAATATTGTATAAACACGGACTGTTCTTCTCCCAGTGTTCTTTTCATAGCGAGACAAAGGTTAGTACTTTTAGATAATCCTCTACTCCGTGTGAGAGGGATTCCTTTTTTAAGATATTCCAGAGCTCGCTATCGAGATAATATTATAATAACCGAAGTGTTGTTGTCTCAATGATACAAAATTTTTTAATTTTAGTGAATGCCCTTCTCCGTGTGAAAGGGATTCCTTTATAAATGACGTTCTCGGTCTCGTTATCGTAGAAGTAGATTTCACAAAAGAATTTCAAGTGATAAATCTAAAAATTTTAGACCCTCAAAAAAAAAACGATATATTTCAACAGGAAAACTCCCCCACACATTATATTTATAAGGCTGTACGTTCAAAAAGCAGGACAGTCGTTATTTAAGTGTCACTATCTCATAACAGATCGAACACAAGGTCAGCAACTAGGAAGAGGAAAATAACCAAATCTAGCGATTTGTGCAGTTTGTTGGGGGAAGGGCAATCCAAAGAGACTACAGAACATTCGACTCTTCGATGATGATACATTCTTCTTCGGGAGACGAATTCAGTCTTAGCCAATGATCTGGCTTCAGCACAGAACAAGGTCCAACTTTTATATCTGAGAAAATATTTTAGCTCCCTAATTTACCAAGGAGCCATGGCATGTCGCCTATCCTCTCCTGTGTCATAATTGTTAAGATGAAGTCCAGCATATTTTCGAAATCAAACTCTTAAAAAAAAAAAAAAAAAATCTGGGTTATAAAATTTAACAATAGTCGTCGTAGACTTAATATTCTTTTAAAGGAAGAGAAAAATATTCATAAATATAATCATGGAACAAATATGGACGGTTGTTATAGATACCGGACGCATAGTCCTAATGTGGTTGACGGTATCTTGTACGAAAGGTATCAACTATTTTTCCCTCTGAAGGATCTTCAAATGAAAATCATGAGGAAGAAGGACCTCTGGATAAATTTACTTTTGAACCTTGCTTAGAGGAAAAGATACAAACAACGGAATGTATCCAGATATTTGTGACAGATATTCGAATATGTCTTTACCTTCCTTCTTTGAAAAAAGGGGGGGGTGATAGATGAGGCATGAGCGGCCAATTCATTAGGTACCCTCCAGTTTGCTGCCTTGCCAGCCTCCTACCATAAAATAGGCGACAACCAACTTAACGTTGACCTCCAAGTCATTAAAAGTAATCAACTTAGCTGACCAGCTAATAATATAATAACTCAAATATGTATATAATAATAAAATAGCTAATATCCTAGATTTTCATAGCTAATATGTAGTGTGTGTGTGTATATATATAAAAAGGAAAAAAAAAACGTCTCCTATTTTTCTCTATTTTGGCTAAAGAAATTTCTCTATTTTGGCTAAAGAAATTTCTCTATTTTGGCTAAAGCTATTCTAATGGAAATGTAAGTTTTATTCTAAACCTTAAGAACACGTAACTGTGTCTCATTTCAAAAGGAGGTCCTTATGATAACGGCTGTTAAATGCTAATTTGTTTATGTAAATCTTTGACTTTTATATGTTGGAATACTCACCATCTACATTTAGAGTTTATATTTACCCATTTCGGTCTATAAAAGCAGTGTTGTGTTTTGGCCAATACTTTATACATTTTTTGACAAAGTGACAGACTTTGTGCAAATTATCGAAACAAAAGTTAGTTTTTTCTTACAGCTTACAGTATATAATATATATTTTCTCCTCTACAATACACTTTCGAAAGAGATGATTATAATAACATTAATGTAAACTTTCGCAGACTTTGATTTTTTTCTTAAATATATCTGGATGGTTTCTCGTTGAAAGAGGCTTTTGTAAGATATGATGTGTCTAAGGTTTACTGCATTAAAATTTTACCATAAATGTTCCCTAACAGTTCTACTTTCTTATCTAGAAATTTCGGAAAGAATAGACATATCAATTAAATCATAAAAGTAGAAATAGTTTTCTTGCAGTTTTACGTATATAAATAGATTATATAATTCTTGCCGTGAACTGCTATGAAAAATAATAAATCATATATTGGTTTCACGTTTAACCTTAGATATCAGAGACAGATGTCAGTTTGTTTTTAGTCAGTATATAATTATATATGCATATCATAGTTACTGAAAATTATCAACAAAAAAAATAATACAAATAATAATAAAACTTCTGGTATAAAATTGACGCAGATCAATATCTGTGTCTACTTTATATCAATGTCCACAATATCCATACCAATGTATGGATCGAAACCTAATATATATGATGACTCTGGTTTAATTCATCGACGTAATTAAAGCATTTTGGAAAATAAATTATTGAGAATCTTAATTTCTTACTAAAGGCTTAAAAAGTAAGGCCTTTTAAATATTAAGCAATGGGTTATAAACACCTTAAAAATATATATATCGGTTAAACCTCACTATAGTCGAGTTATCCACGCAGTTCTACATTGAGACAGGGATTTCTATCGACACGATGAGTTAACTGGTTTATAAAGTATAATTGAACAATTTTGGCAGAATCCTTTATGGAAGTGCCATCTTATGGGTTTCTGTCTCTGCTTAGTATGCATATATGTATAGGTTAAATTGTCACAATTTAATAAATCCATGTATTGATGGCCGTTAAATTGGTTTCATCTTGGTTGCATTCAATAAACATATTTATAATTTCAGCTATTTTTGTCTCAAAAAAAAAAAAAAATGCTTTCTGCACCACATTCATTAATTTGCAACCATCAGTTCTTTAAACATCTACGTATAGAAAAATCAAGATAATACATTCGGACTGGACGCGAATATAATTATACGATCAAACGAACTTACCTGAAGTGAAGTTCGATCGTAATTATATGAGGCGTCCAGTCCGAATGTATTATCTTCCCACCCCTCCCGTTTTGCCCCATGGTCGCTTGAATTAATGAATAAATATTTGAAAAATGAATACCGACCGCCGCGCCAGGGCCGGCGCGGCCACCTAGACTGGTAGCGGGAGGGATTTTAGCTTATAGCTTTAAAATTGTGCACGCAGGGACGGTACTACGTATAGAAAAATCAAGATAATACATTCGGACTGGACGCCTCATATAATTACGATCGAACTTCACTTCAGGTAAGTTCGTTTGATCGTATAAGTAATAACATCTAGAGTTTGATATCGCCAAAATGATCATCGGCTGTCATTCCCCAGCCGTCTTTGACACTGTATTTTTCAAACCTTTAATATAACAATATCGTACGTATATCTAAGAAGTAATTGATTCTTAAGATAAATCATTTCACAAAACGAGGAAGTAATTTCCGTTTGCCCTTGAATAATGTAATTTTTCCTCTTGTCGTCGGACTAATGCTAATTAAGAATACATATTGAACCATAAGCTATAGTGTCAATATGAAAAAAGGAATATGTCTAGAGACTGTTGACGAATAGAAGATTAGGATTAGTATTTTGCACTAAAAATAACTAATAGAGCAGTCAAGAATGTAAAATGTAATAAATTATTATTTGATATTGTGTATATTTCTCCTCATATAACTTTTCTATCAAGACACTATCCGTCAAAGCGTAACCACCGTAATAACAAGGCCGGACAGCTGTGACGTAAAAATCTCGTGACGTCACCAACTGGAGGCGCAACTTTATTTAGCAGCGTTGATAATTACCCGATAAAAGTTCAAATTGTGGATCTTTTTTCACTCACCAAATAGATTTCGAAGTTTTAAACCGTCTTTTTCCGAGTTATTAAAAATATTATAGTATATAAAAATAGTTTTAATAGAATACGGAAAAAATCATACCAGTCAATAAATGTTTATCTCTCACTTTTTATCAATCAAATTTAATAAAGGAATATTTTAATTTCACAATAGTGTATAATATGAGAAAAAAACAAAAAAAAATAGATATTCTTTATAGTACATATTATGCATTTTATCGATATTTTACGCCCCCTACACCTACGGCGCCTGTCGTAGCACGTAGCGGAGTGGTATTGCCGCAGTTGACAGTCATCGATTTATCGGTAGGTGTGCGGACGTGGTAAGTGGTAATTATAATCGATAATAGAAGGGTGAAAAAAGTTATAAATCTGTAAAAAGAGGTGTTTAAACTATAAAGTTATTATAAGTGTGTGCAATTATACAGTTTAAAAGGTATAATACCTTGGGTTTCCAAAAGATGAAATTACTAATATAGTTTTATTTGAATATACAGGGTGTCCCAGAAATGAGTGCAGATATTTTAACTGGTAGTATAGTTCAACCCCAGAAACACGCCTATGAGGTTTTTTTCGCGAAAAAAAAAATGTTGAAAATTTTATATTTTTCTTGACATTTTCCGGAAAATGTTGAAAAACTTTTGAGTGCCACTGTTCACTCCCCGGGAAATTCGTTTACCGAGCATAGAGAGTGTCGGAGAGAATGCAACGTTGCCACCTCCTACCATACCCACATTCTGCATGTTTATCTATAAATTCCCAAATTCCCAAATAAATTGTATAATTTTTAACAAAGTTTTGCAAAGCCATGTTTCTCAAAATTCACAATAAAAAAATATTTTTATCAAAAATATCTTTGGATTACATTAAAAGTAATAACACCATTATTAAAATTTCCGCAATGTACTATTTATAATGCTAAGTTATTGTAAAAATTGTCATAAATTCTATTAGAAATACACGTCTGAAAAACTACTGTTGATATGAAATAATGACTTGAAAAAGGAAATAAAAGAAACTTAGACACACTTACAGCATAAATAAATACAATGACGATGGATAATATGAGATGGGATATCAATCTGATGTTTTTTCTTAATTAAAAATGTCAGAAGTTGACATACGATATGTCGTTCTATTCAGAATGTTCTATCACATAAAGTAAAAAAATATCAAATATCGAGAGTACCATTTGAAAATCAAAAATTGCTATTTCCGATGAAACACGAGCGAAGTGACCGAAAGTAATCGAATAAGCCAATCAATCCTGATGTATGTCATATACTAACATTATAAATTTCCTTTTATTATCTGAAAAAATAAAAATGTTATAAGGGTGGGTCACTTTTGACAAATATCCGGTATATTTACTGTGTTTTCCAGAAGTATAGTCTATCCAACGAGAGGATCACTGACAGTGACAGTTGTATCTGTCATTTTAATGCACAAGCAAATCGTATTTGCTGACATTTTTTGGATGTCATTTGTCTAAATCTTCCCTGAGTCGTTGGTCAGACTATACAGGGTGGCGCACCTCATTCGCCTCGGTTGATTATACGAAAACGGAAAGATGTAGAAACAAAATATTTTATGGGTATATGTGGGGAGGTAATGTGCACAATTTAAAATTATTTTGAAATATACAGGGTGTCTCAGAACTAAGATTCATACCAAAGTTATATTTTTTCTTATGGAACACCCGGTATTTTATTTCATTTTTCGATCCTTGGCCCCAAAAAAAGACATTTATTATAAGGGTTAAATATGTTTAAAATCTTTGGTTTTTGAGATATTTAAAGATATTTAAATTTGCATGCTGCAATAGAATAGATTATTAACAACCTGTACATTACATTTCAGAATTAATTCTTGTGCTAAGTTTAAAGGTAGAGAAGTAAACTTTATTGAAAAATGTTATTGCTTCCTTAAATTTATACAGGGGTATCAAAAATTGCTGATATATTTTAA